AGAAACAAAACCAGGACCTTTATGATTTTATATATATATGAGGAGAGATTTTACAGCATGAAGGAATATAACAGTTAATTAGTCAACACAGTAGAGCAGTTCCACTTCCATGGAACAGTCAGTATATTGGAATTCCTTCAACTCACAAGAGCCGCTGGGTCCAAGGTCATGGAAGTAGAGAGCTGAGTCTTCCCTAGGCAATGCAGGCAGTGTCTGCCCACAGGCAGCAAACAGCAGGGCGGGTCACCAACAGTCAGCAGCTCAGGAGCTTAGTAAAGCAAGCCTAGATGGGATATCAAACTCAAGCAATGCAAGACAACAGGATCTAACAGCCTCGAACTCAGGTGATGTATACACCAGCAGTGTGGTGGAGCAGGTCTCGAAGGAAACTCAAGCTCTAGCAACACAATCCACAGGTTGGCTATCCGACAGGTAGTGTGGCTCACAAGTTGGGGCAGAGAACTAGCTAAAGCAGCCACACCCTGGTCTGATCACCAGAGAGGAAGAGAGAGAGGTGGACCTTGCTGAGCCATTTATCTTTTTTCCCTCCAATCAAACTGCGACCTTATTAATCCCACATGTTCCTATTGGCCAGGTTGACACAATAAACCTACCTATCACAGTATGTGGGGATAAGCATGGTATATAGTGTGACTGAAAAGGTGGGTAAGTTCAAGTCTTCAATGGCTCTATATTCCATCTTAAGGAGTTTGGACCAGAATCTAGAAGATTTGGTTCAATATCTTTAGTAAATATAAAACCAGAAGAGTTTCCCTTTCCTGCAGGGTAAGGTTGAGGTGAGAAACTGAGCCTCAAGGGTAAGGACAAAATGAGAGTAAGGCTGAGCTTCAAATGGAACTTGCCAGCCTCCACTGTGCTCTTGGAGGGAGGATATTTGCGTTCCTTGTCTAGTATCTCACATGGACACCAGCAGATCTGGGCCTGAGACACAGAACCTAACAGAGGGCCAGAGAGAAGCATCTTCTTTCTTAAGCTTCTCCAATATTTCGATGCCCTGCACCTGGAGTGATCTCCAAGATTCCCCAAGGGCAGCTGGAGCTACCTAGCCTTCTCTTTTCCCAAACACATGTTGTAACCTCCACCAGAAGCTGAATGAAGTTGAAGGTGATACTTCATTAGCACAAGGCTTCCTGGGAGACCATTAACAAATATTGCAGGGGATGATCTTGAATCCTGCCCTCTTCTATAACAACTGCAGGAGAGTGGAGTCTATAGGACATGGAAGTCAGTCCCCTTCTGTACACCCAGAAAAGTTTCTGTTCTCCCAGAAATCCCTTGTTCTTTCCCACCTTACACATGCCTAGTTCTAAATGGGAGTAGCTGGCCAGACAGGAATAAGGATGCTGTCATTGCTAATAAGGTGTGAATACAGGAGCCACTGCCACACAAGCTTCCTTTCAAGTAACTCACTTTTTTGGTGCCAACTGGCTCTCTGTGTATAGTGTGTGTAGTAACCTGAGATTCTTTGATTACTGAGTCTCTTGGTATAAATGCTAGTCATTTCCTATCTATATCAAGAATTACAGAAACCACAGAGGAACAAAATCAGAAGGAAGAAAAAGATTGGCCACTGGATAAAATGGAGTTAGCCACAGGAGACTTCCTGGAAGGAGAGTTCTGAGAAGTAAAATGATCCAGGATTAAAAAGCTGAAAATCGGAGCCACAAAGACCCATATTGCCCAGAATCTCAGTACTGAATTATAAGGATCTAGGCATTCATTCTTGAGGAGCCCTGGTGGCTTAGTGGCTAGGTGCTAGGCTTCAATCCACAAGTTCAGCAGTTTGAAACCACAGCTGCTCCGAGGGAGAACGCCTGAGCTTTCTGCTTTGTATGGCATTAAGAGTTCATAGTCCCTGAAACTCACAAGGCCTGCCCTATAGGGTCACTATGAGTTAGCATCAACCTTGGTTTGGCAGTGAATTTGGTTTGGTTTGGGGGCCTACATTCTTAGGGCTAAGCAAGTGCCCATTGAGACCATTCAGTTTATATGACTCTTCTCTAATTTTAAGCTGCACTTAGATTTATCAATACTCTAAGACCAGGAATGTTTCCAAATATGCATCCTGAATTAATAGGCTAAAAGCATATCTTAACAAGACTTTCATATTCTGATCTATCCCTACATCTACTCCCCTCAAATACACCTGCACACACACACACACACACACACACACACACACACACAC